GTGAAGTCCAGTGTCGGTTTTTTACATGTTTTTTTAAGAATTTTAACAATTAAGTAATTAAATAAAAAAATCATTATTTCAACATATAAGGAAATGAGATCTCTCCATTGTAGTGGTATTTATAAATTGACCATAGCTCCGATGATGGCTTTGTAAAGCCGAAAGCGCTCAGCTAGGAATTATTAAAAATATACACACTTCAAAAATACTTTTTTGCCTTTTCTTTTGGACTGTCATAAAGTGTGTACAAAAAACATATCAGTCTTTTGATTATTAATTCTACAGTGATTCAAACAAAAGATATCGTCAAAAAACGAAAAAACATGTTTTAATTTTTTTGAGGTTATGTTTGGGTCTGAAGATGTTCTAAAGATCTAAAAATTTTTTGGTCCTTGTTGATGTAGAACAATATGGCATTTTTAGTTTTGGAATATTATGGGGGAAATTTTACTATTAATTGGCTAGACCGAAAATAATTTTTCGTTATTTTGACCATGATGTCACACTTATTAAAACCTGAAAAAAATCATGGAGATAGCTTGACACTTAACCAATAATATATATTTTTTAAAGTAGCGTTTAAGATAGTTTTTTTGAACGAATTTTAAAAAGTTCAAAAGCATTCAAAAATTTGAATTTCTCGCCAAAAATTTGGTAAAAATATCTTGATGTAAACAATAAAATGTACTACAAATTGAAAAAATAATGATTTCTACCATAATTAGAACCAAGTTTTTTGTAAATTATGTATTTTTTGGTAAGACACTTTCTGATATGGAACAACATGGTATTTATTTTTAAACTATTGCTCGGGGCATTTTTCACTATCTTAACCGGCTAAACCCTTTGCTTTCCTATAAATTTTTTGACAAAACCTGATGATACAAAAATAGTTTCACAACTATTGTTCTGAAGCTATTTTCTTGTGCCATTGTAAATTAATTACTATTTATAACTGGGAATAAGCCACAATTAAAGATAAAAATACGTTTATTGACGTTTCATTTCCAATTCGGAAATCGTTTCAAAAATACAAATAGTAAATTAAACAAATTTTGTTTTTTTGTTACATAGTGAAAAAAAAATTCTTCTAATAATTTAATTTTATCTGACTCATTTATATTGACAATTCAGACATACATTATGCATTTTAAAGTAGACGACTTTAAAATGATATTGCCAATATTATTGAGTTGCGCTCCTGGGACGACTTTATTTATAAGATAGTTCATTCGATTACATGAAATCAACTTTAACTTGAGACTATCCGTCAGAAAAAATCATAGCATGTAATTCGTCTTTAAAAAGACAAACACATGACATGATGACAGTAAAATTCTCCTGTTAGTGATTCCATAGTAAATTATGAGGGAAAAACCAGGAAAAAAAAAAAAAAAAAAAAAAAAAAAAACATCAAAATTCTGATTTTATATGTTACGTTATTTAAAAAACAAAATGATGTATTTTCTATATGTTACTGACTTACTAATACTGGTATTTTCTTATTAATAACTTCCTCTTTCAATATTGGTAACCAGATCCTACTACATTCTGCCGAGGAATTTGCGACACAATTGGCCTCATTTAGCATAATTAGAGCCGCTTCTTTGATTTTTCTTTTTTTACCATCCGTTTCTTTTAGGACTATATTTGAATTATTCCATTGAACTCTATGTTCATTATCCCATGCGTGTTTACATATTTGAGATCTATCAAATTCTCTATTTTTAATATAAGATTGTTGTTTACTTATTCTAACATTTAATGGCCTTGATGATTCATCTGATCGCATTCACAAGGTATTTTATAAATGCAATTCTTTGTCCTTTCTTGTTCATTGTTAGGTTTGGTTTTGGACAAAATAGATCTCAACGTGTTTGTTGTTTTGAATGTTGTTGAAATGTTGAATTTATTTCCTATCCTTTTAAGTTTTTCTGATAATCCTTTTGTACGGTATTGTTATTTTCCTCATATTATTCCTTGTGTATGCTGTAGGATCTCGTTCTAAGTTGTTTTGTTCTATTCGATCGATTGTTGAAAATTCCTTATTTATAAACGATAAGGATAATCATTTTTTAATAAAACAGATGTTAACAAATGTTTCTCCTCCAAGAACGAATTTTCGTTAGAACAAGTAATTTTGGCTCTATCGTATAAGGATTTAATTATTCCCTTTTTTACATTAATATTGTGATTTGATTTGAAATTTAAATATCTATTGGTGTGTGTTGGTTTTCTATACACCTGAGTCTCATATCCAGTATCGTTCTTAAAATATATATAAATATATCCAGTATCTTATAAACGATAAAGAAGAGACAATAACATTTACCATGGAAAAGGAATATAATAACACGCTACCTTTCCTGGATGTTTTGATCTCTAAGAACGATACTGGATATGAGACTCAGGTGTATAGAAAACCAACACACACCAATAGATATTTAAATTTCAAATCAAATCACAATATTAATGTTAAAAAGGGAATAATTAAATCCTTATACGATAGAGCCAAAATTACTTGTTCTAACGAAAATTCGTTCTTGGAGGAGAAACATTTGTTAACATCTGTTTTATTAAAAAATGATTATCCTTTATCGTTTATAAATAAGGAATTTTCAATAATCGATCGAATAGAACAGAACAACTTAGAACGAGATCCTACAGCATACACAAGGAATAATATGAGGAAAATAACAATACCGTACATAAAAGGATTATCAGAAAAACTTAAAAGGATAGGCAATAAATTCAACATTTCAACAACATTCAAAACAACAAACACGTTGAGATCTATTTTGTCCAAAACCAAACCTAACAATGAACAAGAAAGGACAAAGAATTGCATTTATAAAATACCTGTGAATGCGATCAGTTTTATTTAGGTGAATCATCAAGGCCATTAAATGTTAGAATAAGTGAACACCAATCTTATATTAAAAATAGAGAATTTGATAGATCTCAAATATGTAAACACGCATGGGATAATGAACATAGAGTTCAATGGAATAATTCAAATATAGTCCTAAAAGAAACGGATGGTAAAAAAAGAAAAATCAAAGAAACGGCTCTAATTATGCTAAATGAGGCCAATTGTGTCGCAAATTCCTCGGCAGAATGTAGTAGGATCTGGTTACCAATATTGAAAGAGGAAGTTATTAATAAGAAAATACCAGTATTAGTAAGTCAGTAACATATAGAAGATACATCATTTATGTTTTTTAAATAACGTAACATATAAAATCAGAATTTTGATGTTTGTTGAAGGTAAACTAAATTCACGAACAAATACTTACAATGTCGGGATAGTATTATAAGGTTTTTTTCCTGGTTTTTCCCTCATAATTTACTATGGAATCACTAACAGGCGAATTTTACTGTCATCATGTCATGTGTTTGTCTTTTTAAAGACGAATTACATGCTATGATTTTTTCTGACGGATATTCTCAAGTTAAAGTTGATTTCATGTAATCGAATGAACTATCTTATAAATAAAGTCGCCCCAGGAGCGCAACTCAACAATATTGGCAATATCATTTTAAAGTCGTCTACTTTAAAATGCATAATGTATGTCTGAATTGTCAATATAAATGAGTCAGATAAAATTAAATTATTAGAAGAATTTTTTCACTATGTAACAAAAAACAAAATTTGTTTAATTTACTGTTTGTATTTTGAGAACGATTTCCGAATTGGAAATTGAAACGTCAATAAACGTATTTTTATCTTTAATTGTGGCTTATTCCCAGTTATAAATAGTAATTAGTTTCACAACTAGTTTGAAAAAACGTTTTTAATTGGAAAAATAACCTAATACGATAAGGCTGGTAATTGGGCATTCAATGGACTCTAAGTAATAATATAATAAGAGGTGAGTCTGCTTATAAAATTCCTAACAAAATAAGAAATATTTAGAGATGAGAAGAGAACGCGATCGCCTTGCATCTCTGGATTCGATTTATAAGTTTATAAGCAGACAAAAGAATACAGTCTTTTACTTCCACGGCGCTATTCTTTAAGATCTCTTGTTAAACTATTTAAACTGAAATTACTGGATATGCTGCCGAAGGAAAATAAATAGAACGTTGGATACAACTTTATGAATAGAAAATTTCTAATTTGGAAGTTTCGTTGCGAATGTTTACAAACATTTTTCATTAAGGTGGATTTGTTTTTAATTAAACTTTCGGTGTAGTTTCTTGAAAGGTTTCAATATTATATTCATATTGTTATCAAGTTTCTTCTTGAGACACAAGGTACTTTAAATATGTGAACTGCATACTCACTTCTACTTCTTTGCCAATTCGTGTTGATTGCGTTTATTAATTTTGGCTATAGATTCTAAAACTATTTTCTTGTTACACCTTTGTATTATCTACTATATTTTATTGATATCGATTAATACTAACAAAAATAGGCAGAAACAATTCTTCTTGATAAGAGTAGATTATGGAAAAGCATTTGATGAAGTCTACCAATAAAAGATGTAAAGCAGATTTTAGAAGAGACCACCAATATACTACAATTATCAAAAGATAAGTATGAAAATTCTACAGCAAGTCTTATAGTCATGAATAATTGTTAAGAAATTTCGATTTAACCCGTCCAACCCTGCCGGTGGTAATTACGAAGCTTATAATTCGGCACAGATATCTGTGATATGACTTATTTGAGTAATTGGGAATGTAAACAGGTTTTTTTGGTTTACTTGAAGTAATAACTGGTAACTGTGATCCTTTTTCACTTGGTAAGTGTTTGTTTTTTTGTTCTAACATTGCTATTGTGTTGAAAAAAACTGCATGTAGCTGTTGGTATTTACTAACTAACATTATGAAAAATTCATTTAAGAATAAATTGTAATTGTTTCTGCATTTGCTAATATTTGGTATGATACTATAAAAGGCGCATGTGAATGCCACCAGTGAGTATTAATGGTTACAAAAGTAGATGAAATAGATTAGAATTTATGACAAGATTTTAAACAATAAATTCTTTTCAGATGAGGTTCCTACAATTTTACGGGATAGGGAAAACTGAAGTTGATGTGGCCCTTGTACAAGTAGAAAAAGCATTAGCTGCCCTAAATGATGACTGTTCTAATATAGAAGATGATGGAGATCCAGATTATGAAGAGACTGATATGTCAACATCGGATGACAATGAAGTAGCATTAGAAAAAGAAGAAATTCCTCAAAAGATTAAAAAGTGTAAAAACAATAAACTATCTGGAAGACTTGAAAAGTTAAACCTCTAAATGGTATTTTTGATCGATCAAGTGAAAGTAATTTTAGTCATGATGAAAGGGACAGTTCAGATAGACCATTCACCATTTGATTGTTTTTCGCGCTATTTTCCACTTGAAATATTTATGGAGTTATCTAAAAAAAAAACAAATTCTTATTCTGTTTACAAGACTAGTAAAAATCTCAGGACTGATGAAAAATGAGATACACCGCCTGGCTGCTCTGCATATTATAATGGAAATTATTAATTTTCCAAGGGTAAGACTTTATTGGGCTCCCCGTACACAACTGTTTTTGATTGGTTGGAGTCAATAAAAGGAGGCTATTTGTTGACTATTTTTTACTCGAGCTTTCAATTATGATTACAATTTTTATCAAGAGCTTCTAAAAAATACAAAATATCTTACAAAGTTGAACTAGAAATAAAAAATTTGTTGTTAACTCACCAAATAAAATTAGGTTTTTTATATAAAGCTGCTGCTAACATTATTACAAAAAATATTATAAAAAAAATATTATTAAAAAAATGCCCTATTCTAATAAATGTTTCTCTGAAATAAATTTTGATAAAGTTTCTTAACAAAAACACTTGAATTTGTAAACAAAAATCGAATAGCTACAAATCAGCCTAAATGTTATAAATACCAACTTACACATATTGTCAAAAATAAAATTTTGTTTAAAAAATTCTTTTTTGTTTAGTAACACAAAAGAAAAAGATTTATTTACCATTGATAGATAACCATTTCCAAAAAAGTTCTTTTAAATTTATTACCTTTACTATATAAAATTTTAATATTATCAGAATCCATAATGTGGTCTTTGTCTATTACATGCTCTGCCAAAGCACAAGATGGTTTCTTAATTCTGCAATCACTTTTGTTAGAAATAATGCGATTTGAGAGATTTCTTCCAGTCTCACCAATATACTTAGCTTCACACTGAGTAGAACCAATGCTGTATACTACATTTGTTTGATCTAATTTGTCTATAGGATATTTAGTTTTGGAATATAAAGATGAAATGGTTTTGATGTTCTTTGTTGCTATTTTTATATTGTCAATAACCTTTAGTGTTTGTATTAATTTAGGAGTTAATGATGGTATAAAAGGTAGTGAATGATAATATATGTTTTGATTGTTGGCTACAGTGTTTTGAGATTTAGCAAACAATGGTGTTAAGTTATTTATATTTAATAAATTAGAAAAAAGCATCCTATGTAGCATATCTGGAGGATAAGAGTTTTCAATTAAAATATTTTTTAACAAATGAAGATCTTCTTGTAGATAGTCTGGATGAGAAAGTTTTAAAACACGTTCCTTTAATCCTGTTATAAGGTTCATTTTAATCTTATTTGGATGATAAGAGTAATAGCTTATAAATCTATTACTACATATGGGTTTTATGAACCACCTGCTTTTCAACATATTGTCTGTATTTCTTACAATTCTCATGTCAAGGAATGGTAGAGAATTATCTACCTCTTCCTCGACTGTAAATTGTATATGTTGATTATGATTGTTGAAAATGTTGACTGTTTCAAGAATTTTATGTTTAGGAAGTGCCAAAACTAGATCATCTACATATCTTTTGATAAATGGAATGAAAAAATTGCAATTATTGATACAATCACTAATAACATTATCCATGTCATAGCTACTTAGAATGGGTAAAAGACTAGATCCCATAGAGCTACCAAAAATTTGTTTATAAAATACACCATTAAATATAAAAATATTAGAATCAAATAGTCGCCTTTTTGTATTTATAAACCCCAAGTATTTGAATTTGTTCTTTCCTTTGATTGTTACGTTGTTATCAATCTGTAAATCTTCGCGAGGTTTATATCTAGGCCAGCCTTGGTCTTTCTTACTTACAGTTATTATTTACATAGATATTCATGTACACTAAGCTGCACTATACTCTGTTTTAAACTAATTAGTACACTAACTCGAAGGGTTTCATCCTCTTCAGTCTTTTTACTAACTCTGTATTATCCAGAAGTTGGAGAGCCTCGATATTTACATGTTATGCAATCTTTATCTACACTCAATATGGGTTCCGCAATGGTATGGGTACCAGAGAGGCATTATTCTCCTTCAATGTGCTGACACAGAGATGTTTGGATGTTAACCGTCCTCTTTACGTCTGTTTTATAGACTACAATAAAGCGTTTGATAAAGTAAAACATGATCGACTCCTAGAAATTCTAAAAAATAAAAACCTAGATGAAAGAGATTTAAGGCTAATAACACACACCTCTATTACAATCAGCGAGCAATAGTAAGAATCGAAAAAGAAACATCTGAAGAAATGGAAATAAAGAGAGGAGTCAGGCAAGGCTGCATTCTATCACCTCTATTATTTAACGCCTATTCTGAAGAGGTAATTCGAGAAACTCTGGAAGATGAAACAGTCGGCATAAGAGTAAATGCAGTCTTAATTAACAACATCAGATATGCAGATGATACAGTAATAATAGCCGATAGTTTACAAGACCTGGAAAGACTCATGAGCAAAATAGTCATGTGTAGTAGGGAGTACGGACTCTCTCTTAATGTCAAAAAGACGAAGTTTATGAAAATTTGTAAAAACAACTATAATACTAACGAAATCTTGATAGTAGAGGGCCAGCAGATCGAAAGAGTAAAAAAGTACACTTACCTAGGAACACTTATAACAGAAAATAATGACTACACGGCAGAAATCAAAGTCAGAATCGAAAAAGCACGTTCTAATTTTATAAAAATGAAAAAGGTCCTATGTGGCAAAGATCTAACATTAGCTCTTAAAGTACGCCTAACAAAATGTTACGTATACAGTGTATTATATTATGGAGTGGAATCATGGACGTTAAATCTAGATACCATGAGACGACTTAACGCCTTTGAAATGTGGACCTATAGAAGAATTATGAGGGTTTCCTGGGTAGATAGAGTTACAAACAATGAAATACTGAGAAGAATAGGCAAAGAGAAGGAAATTGAACTTACAATTAAGGAAAGAAAGCTACAGTATCTCGGACATGTGATGCGGGGCGATAAGTATGGCATCCTGCGACTCATAATGCAAGGAAAAATAGATGGCAGAAGAAGCATCGGAAGAAGACGAATTTCATGGCTGAAGAACCTGAGAGAATGGTTTGGATGCAGCTCAAAACAACTATTTAGAGCTACTGCCTCAAAAAAAAAAAAATTAAGATAGCTATGATGATTGCCAACCTCTGTAGCGGAGATGGCACCTGAAGAAGAAGAAGATGCAATCTTTGCTCATGATTGTTGACACAATTCCTTATTATCTCTTCAACAGGTCTCCCTTCAACCCTTGTCTCGGGGTCTCGGTGAATTAAGCTGTTTTTAACGTACTAAGGGGCATCGACGCTGCTCCTTTGATAAACAATTTAACTGCTGCATCTAACTGATTTTTAGTTTTCATAGAGACCAAAAGATTAACTAAGTGTAAGTAGAATGGAGGAATGATCTGAATTCATATCTCAGGTCTCCTCAATGCTCAAGTAATTAGAGGCAATACTCTTAATTATAAAAAAGTCAATCAGGTCAGGGATTTTATTCCGTAGCCATCGCTATTTTTTAAATTGATTTCAATATTCTGATTATTAATTGCTTTTATTTGTAAATCTTTATTTACGGCTGTAAGTTTATAAGTGTAATTTATTAAAGTCTTTGATACCTTCAACTATAATAATTGGCGGTGGTAATACAGCTTTTCTAGTAGAGGATTTTGCTTCAGTTGGGGCACTTTATGATAGTGATAGAGATATATCCATTTTTATTTTTTTGTTGTTTCTTGATTGTACCGATCTATATACAAGTACCGGTTTTATCAGGATCTTGTATATTTTGCATTTGGTTTTTCTTGTGATGTTGTTAGATCTTAGATGTTTAAGCAGTCTATTATATGTTTTATTAGCGATATGTATTCTTTTCTCAACTTCTTCATTGACATTGTTATCTGCAGTAACTGGTGAACCTAGATAAGTAAACATTTTCACGCTTTCGATGCTATAGTCTTCTATTGTCAGATTCTGTAGGTTTCTTTGGCCTGTCGATTTACTGGCCTTCATGTAATTGGTTTTTATTTCATTAATGTTATATATATATATATATATATATATATATATATATATATATATATATATATATATATATATAAAGTCCCAAGACTCCTAAGAGGAACATAGGGCTTCCACAAAGTGTCTCCAGCGAACTCTATTTCTGGCTAGTGCTTTGATTTCAAGCCAGGATTTTTCCATTTTTCTCCCTTCGTCCAGTACTGTCCTTCTCCAAGTTCCCTTAGGTCTGCCTACTTTCGGTCGGCCTTGGGGATTCCAATCCACCGCTGTCCTGGCAATGTCATTTGGCGGTCTACGGAGTGTGTGGCCCAGCCATCTCCATTTTCTTCGCCTTATTTGCTTTATAACATTTTCTTGGTTGCTTTGGTTCCATAAATTTTCATTGGAGATTCGGTTAGGCCAAAATATACGAAGGATTTTTCGTAACGCTCTATTGATGAAAACTTGTAATTGGTGTACTATGGGTGCTGATATCTTCCACGTTTCGCAGCCATACAGTAATACAGCTTTTACATTTGTGTTGAAGATTTTTAGTTTCGTTTAGTTGGGTAAATCCTGGATTTCCATATGTTGTTAAGCATGTTGTAGGCGTTGCGAGCTTTATTTATTCTTTCATGTACATCACGCTCTGTACCCCCATTACAGTCAATTATGCTGCCCAGATATACAAATTCCGCTACTCTCTCAATTTTCTGGTCGTTGATCATAATAGGTTGGTTGTTTCTGGTACCAAATCGCATTTCTTTGGTTTTGTTGATGTTTATTTCTAGACCAACCTTCTTTGATTCTTCTTGTACTTTGTTTACTTGGAGTTGCATGTCCTGTTTTGTATGTGCTAGGAGGCATATATCATCAGCGTAATCTAGGTCTTCCAGTCTGTTTGTTAATCCCCAGTAAATTCCTCTATTAGAGTTTACC